GTGGAGAGATGGATGGACAGAGAGGGAGACTGTTGGAAACCTCAGGGTAAACTGAGCTCTGAACCCCAAGTGTTGATTTGCCTTGAATGGTTGGAAAAAGCCATTGTCTTCTGTTTTGTTTTTCTTTCTCTCTTTTTTTTTTTTAAGACAAGGTCTCATGTAGCCTTAATAGTGGCCTCAAACTTATTGTGTCATCAAAAATGTGTTGAACTCCTGGTGCTCGTGCCTCTGCCTCTGGATTGTTGGGATTGCAGGTGTGTACCACCATACCTAGCTTACACAGCACTAAGGAGTGAGCACTGGGCAAGCCTCTCCAGCTGAGCCACACTCCCGGGCTCAGGCCATCCACTGGTCTTCTGTTAAAGCAAACAATGCATATGCTGTAGAACGGTGAGGCCTCTCAGCCAAGAGAACAGAAAGAAGCTGGGAAGACCAGGCTGGGGTTAAATCTGAGGGCTCTGACAGGCACTACACTGATCTCTTCCCATGCTATCTCAGACAGTCTTAGGGTTTATCTGTCTAGATTTTCCAACACTTTGGGAAGTTTCTTTCCAAGATCATAGGGCAGAGCTAGGACTGAATCCGGGTGTCACACTGGGTGTCCATGCACTCCAAACCTTTCTCCCTCTGTCACATTCACTGATCTTTCTCCCTACCCCACCTCCTGGGATTGAACCTAAGGATTCATACATGCTGGGCAGTGCCCTACCACTCTGCCATTACCTCTACCCTACACAGTTTTCACAACAGCACCCTGGGTGTACTATAGCTTTGTAATAGATCTTGAAACTATTAACTTAAACCTTGTAATTTAGCCAGGTAGTGGTGGCAGCAGGTGCCTTTAATCCCAGCACTCGGAAAGCAGAGGCAGGCGAATCTCTGTGAGTTCAAAGCCAGCCTGGTCTACAGATCTAGTTCTAGGACAGCCAGAGCTGTTACACAGAGAACCCTGTCTCAGACCCCCTCCCATTAAAAAGACTCTGGGGACTGGAGAGATGCTCAGTGGCTAAGAGCATGTGCCACTTTTGCAGAGAACACAAGCTTGGTTCCCAGAATCCACAGCGTATAACTGGCTGTAACTCCAACTCAGAGGACCCAGTGATCCTTTGGACTCTATATGCACCTACACGCATGTGTGCATCCCCCTACACAGACACATAATTTTTTTTTTTTTTTTTTTGGTTTTTACGAGACAGGGTTTCTCTGTATTGTTTTGGAGGCTGTTGGTTCAGCCCAGCCTCGAACTCACAGAGATCCGCCTGCCTCTGCCTCCCAAGTGCTGGGATTAAAGGCGTGCGCCACCGCCACCCGGCCACAGACACATAATTAAGAGTAACATAAACCTTTAAAGTTTCCCCTGTTAAGATGGGTCATTTGTACTTGCATAATTTTAGAATTATCTTGTCAATCTATAAAAACAAGACTGGCTGGGGTTTTTTCACTTTTATTTTTGTTTTGTCCTGGAGATCAAGCCTTTGGTATGTTAAGCTGTGCTCTGCCACTGAGCTCTGCTCATAGCTCCCTGCTGGGATATTGATGGAAGTTGTGTTGACTATTGGGAGACTTTTCCAGAAAAGAATTAGAGTAGATTCTATCTCATTTATGCAGGCATTAGAAGACATTCTACTGAAGTGTGTGACCTTAGGCCAGATCTTGCTAATGAAAGGTTAGAGTGAGGTAGAAGAGGAAGAAGAATGGAGGGCCAGGAATTGATGGCAAATGGTAGTTAACCCTTAGCCATCGGGCGGATAGCCAGGTTTATCAAGGCCTGGGGCAAACGGAACAATCCAGGCCCTGGCTGAGGAGCAGGCAGTGTTGTGGTGCAAGAATATGAGTTTAGGGCTAGTGGGATGGCTCTGTGGTGAAGGTAGCTGCTGGGAGCCTGCTGATGTAAACCCAGTCCCCTGGACCCACGTCGGGGAAGGAGATACTCAACTCTTAGAAATTGTGTTCTGACTTCTGCCCACACCAATGCACAACTATGCATTCAAAACTCAAGAGTGTGCATGCACCACACACACACACACACACACACACACACACACACACACACACACACACACACACAGTGTTGCTTGCTCTTTCAGTCAATAAGGTTAGAAGTCTGGATTTTATACAGTCTCCCAAGTTCTAAAATTGAAATTGAGAACATTGAAGGAGTCAGAGCTCCCTGTAGACTGCCAGTCTGTGACCTCTGCCTTAGTCTAGTCATATTTTAGTCTTATTTTCATCATCTGTAAGCATGGAGGTGTTGAATTCAGTCTCAGGTTTCTTTCTAGTTTAATGATTCAAAATTTCAAAAGAGGAAAGTGTCAAAATAACCAAAAGGTTTTTGAGGTAGCTGAGAACATCTACAGAATTAGTAGCCAGAGAACTTGTCCGGGTCTCTACACTTCACTTAACACCATCGTATTTTTTATAGTTATCCTTATATCCTTTGTGAAGGGCACGGGATGACTCGGCTAACCACATGAGAGCTCACTCTGGGGTCACACAGTCTTTGAAGGCTCTGGAGACAGGCTCCTCCAGAGGGCAAGCAGTTGTGGGGTCTTTTGCATGCGAGAGCCTTAAGTAGAGTGGAAGGCAGGTCCCTAGCTAGATTTATAACTGAGCCTGGTTGAAGTGTCAAGGCTTTTGGGTAACGGTTGAAGCCTTGGTGGGAACTCTCAGGAGGGAGGAGCTTTGGCACACATGTACCTTTGTAAGCTTGTGCCTTGCATGGTGTCTAACACACAGTTAAGTTTTTTGTGTACACCAAGAAATGGATTGAGTGATCCTTTGAAGAAGGAGTGAAAGGTTTTAGATCAATCTTGTCTTAGCATTTCAAGGATTGTGAATATAAGGAAGTTAGACACCCAAGGGCTTCATTCCAGTCATCCCTAAAATTCTTTTTTTGGTTTTTGGAGACAGGGTTTCTCTGCATTGTTTTGGAGGCTGTCCTGGAACTAGCTCTGTAGACCAGGCTGGCCTTGAACTTACAGAGATTCGCCTACCTCTGCCTCCCGAGTGCTGGGATTAAAGGTGTGCACCACCAACGCCCAGCTCATCCCTAAATTTTTTATGTACCTGAAAACTTTTATAATAGGTATTACTAAATCAGAGATTCATAGGCTCCACAATGTATTGAGTCTTTCAGACTTTGTAAATAGTATGGTCATTGAATTCTTCTTATCATAATTTCCTTACTGCCATTCTTTTAGAATATTTACCTTGTATTAGATAACCTTTGATAATTAACTTTAAGATTTATGTGTATGTGTGCCTGTGTGGGTTTATGTGTGTGGAAGTGCTCTTGGAGACCCTAGAACTGGAATTACAGGATGCTGTGGGATGCCTGATGTAGGTCTGGGAACCGAACTTGCATCCTCTGCAAGAGCAACTCACTTTCTTAACTGCTGAGTCACTACTCCAGCTCATACACCGTATCAGATATTTTAAGTAATAATAATAGTAAGTAGTGTGATCATTAAGAGGAAAATGGAAAGCAGGAATCGAGTGTGTTAGGAATGTGGGTGTTGAGTGAAACAGCTGTGGCGAGGCCTTGGGCAGGGCATTGCACGTTTCTGAATCTGGATCCCAGGACTGTACATGCAGTAATGCAATTTCCCTGCATTTCTGTGGAGAAAGCTAAGGGTGAAGAGGACCAAGAGTCTGAGGACAACACCTGGCCTTCCCTCAGGGCTCGGGTCTGGTATACTTTATTTTATAATTAGAGGGCAGAGTAATGGAAGGGTAAAAGTCTGCCTCAGGGATCTCGCTATGACTTTTCTTTCTTGTATGAATTATAAGTGCCAACGATTGTATAATACACAGTTGATGTATTATTTTAGAAACAGAACTCATGAAGATCAGACTGCATCACTGTAGGCCTTACAACAACTCTGACAGTTGACTATCATCTGAAAGTAAATAAGAATGAAGCTGTTAAGTCCGTAGGATACTGCCTAGTGCCTGTTTGCCTTGGCCTCCTTCCTTAACTATTTTTATTACAAATCCATGTATGTGCACATGTACACATGATGTGCACAAGCTGTCAGAGCACAGCTTGCTGGATGTTGGTTTGCTTCTTCCACTATATGATCCTAGGGATCAAACGCAGGTCATCAGGCTTGGTGGCAAGTTCTCTCACCTATTACGTTATCTTATCAGCCTGATGTGGCCTCCTTTAATAAATCCATGTCTAGAGATTTAATAATCATTCCTTAGGATGTCACATAGCCATTAAAATCACACACACACACACACACACACACACAGATTATGTAATGGTCTAGAAAAGGCTCATGATGAAAATATGCAAAATGGTACCTATGTTGGCTGAGTGTGGTGGTGCATACTTGCTATCCCAGGAGATGTGGCTGTGGGAGCGGGGGTGTTGGGAGTTCAAGGCCAGCCTCTGCTACATAGGGAGTTTCAGGCTAGCCTGACTATATGAGACTCCAGGTAAAAAAAGATAAAAAGAAAAAACCAAAACAAACAACCCTCCCCAGCAAGAGATATATATATGCTGGGGTCCCTCATACATAATTATGACACATAAGTGTATATTGGGGAAATCTATGGAAAAGGAAAACAATGTTTTTGGTTTTTAGATAGCTTAGTTTTCTTTTAAAAAGTCTTTTATTGTTAAATATTTATTATGCCTGCATGCCTACATACCATGGTGTGTAGGTCATTTGGAATATTCATAAATTCTAAAACTAATAAATTAAAAATAAAATAAAACAGAAAGAAGCCAGGCTGTGGTGGAGCACTCCTGGAATCCCATCACTTAGGAGTTACATAGTGAGGCTGAGGCCATCTAGGTTGTGTGAGACTGTATCTCAAAACAAAACTCAAATGAAACAGATCCCAGAAAACTCTGGGAACCTAAAGATTATGGTCACTTAAGTAGAAAAAGAAATCAAAACCGACCTTTTCTAAAAACGTTCTACAAAATACTGTACTTGGATGCCTCTTTCAGATTTTGCTGAACATTCTTGAAATTACTCTGTTTCCAGGTTCAGTTTCAGAAGCTTCAGCAACTGCGCCTTACACAGTACCACGGGGGATCCCTGCCTAACGTGAGCCAGCTTCGGAGCAGCACATCAGAGTTCCAGGTACCCACTTGCCTGTTTTTGTGATGCTGAATAGGGTACAGAGAGAGAGAGGGGGGTGGAGGGGGAGAGGGAGAGGGAGAGAGGGAGAGAGGAGAGAGAGATTATTGTTGTATGGATGTATGCTGTGTGTAATGTGTGTAGACATGGCCTGTGCCCAGTATGTGTATGGAGGTCAGAGGACAACTTTCTTTTCGTTTGTTTACTTTTTATTCAAGACAGGCTATTCTGGAACTCACTCTGTAGACCAGGGTGGCCTCAAACTCAGAGATGCACCTGCCTCTGTCTCCTGAGTGCTGGGATTAAAGGTGTGTACTACCATGCCCAGCTTTGGAGGACAACTTGGACAACTTTCAAGGGTCAGTTGTCTCCTACCATGGGTTCTGGGAATAGAACTCAGGTCATCAGATTTTTACAAGTCCTTTGACCTGTCGCTATCCTGCTGGCCCTTGCTTAGGGTTTTTGTGATAGAGTCTATGTAGCCCTGACTGCGCTGCAACTTCTGTCTAGACCAGAGTGGCTTCAGATTGTCCTGATTCTCCTGCCTGTACCTCACGAGTTCTGAGAATATGGGTATCTCACAACATCTGGCTTGTTGTTCAGCTTTCTTTCCTTCTTTCTTTCATGTATTTATTTTTTTGAGACAGGGTCTTATGGGTGTTAAGTAACTAAGCTGTGTAGCTGCGCATAGCTGAGGATGTCTTTGAGCTTCTCATCTTCCTGCCTCTGTCTCCAAAGTGCTGGGATGATTGTGCTGGGGATGGGACCTAGGACTTTTGTAAGTGTCATGCCAGGCAAATGCTCTGCCAGCTGAGCTGCGTCTTCAGCCCTGGTCTTGAGGTCTTGATTTTCTTACTGTAGCTCTCAAAGTCCTGGGATCACAGGCATGTGCTAGCATTCCCAGTTTTATTTCAATTGTTTGAATACTTATATCTTAATACCATTTCAGCATATAGTCAACATGCAAACCATAAGAGATCTCATATGTAAGTGTGTATTTTACACTTAGAGCACTTCTCAGTCTTGACTACCATCCCCAGATTCATGTGACTAATGATGGCCTCACTGGGTCGGTAGGCCAGAGGCATAGATAACAGTCCTGCTGCACTGAGATTAGTGCCGTCTCAGGCACTGTAGTCATTTACCAGAAGGGCCTTACTTAAACAATGTGGAATTAGTGTTGCAGACAATAGTGTCGGGTACTCTAGTTAAGATCTGAGTTAGATAGACCTACTCTGATATCCTATCAGATATCCTAGAAAAGTTAGAAGCCTGCTATTTTTAATTAAACAAGTTAGGATCTGATGTTAGAGCTGATATATAACCTTTGTGATAAAGCGTCATAACTCTGTGCCTTTGGATACCCTTCTATCTTATTTTTGGGATGTGTACATATGGTATATGCAATGTGTATGGTATCTGTGTATTTGTGTGTATGTGTGGTATATATGTGATCTGTGTGATGTGTGTATGTGGTGGGTGATATATATGGTGTGTGTGTCTGCATGCATGCACACCAGCTCTCAAGAATGCCCATGCATGTGCATGTACTTATGAACTTTGTAATGCTGGAGTCATGTGCACATGAAGCTGTTCTTAGCTCTTTACATGGGTACCGGGGATTTGAGTTCAGGTTCTCATGCTTGTGGAGCCCGTGGTCTTACCCGACTGTCTTCATAGCCCACCTCCCTTCAGTCTTAAAGCTGGCTCTTCTTTATTGAGGAGACTGAGTTTGTTGTTTTCATGATATCCAAAATATTATGGAGCATTTTGGATTTCTGGCTTTTAAAAATCTCTCTCTCTCTCTCTCTCTCTCTCTCTCTCTCTCTCTCTCTCTCTCTCTCTCTCTCTCTCCCTCCCTCTCGTGTGTGGTGTGTGTGTGTGTGTGTTGGGGGTGTGTGTGTTTGTGTTTCTGTGTTAGTATGGCCACAAGCATGTCGTGACACACATGTGAAGGTCAAAGGGCAACCTCAGTTGTTAGTCTTCATTGTCTGCCTTTTTGAGACAGGGTCTCTTTACAGCTGTGGTATACCAGGCTAGCTCTTTGTTGCTGTGTACACCAGGCTAGCTGCCCTGCAAGTTTCTGAAGATTCTTCTGTCTCTTTCTCCTACCTCATGGTAGGAGTACCAGGCTCCCAGATGCGCGTAAAATAACAGTAACGCTTTGAAAATGGTTGTTTGAGGAAGCAGAGGTGGCTGCCACACCGACGGCGCTTGGTGTGCTCACATTTCAGCAAGAAACACTGCCTCAGTACAGTGGCCCGAGACTGAGGCAGACGCCAGTGTCAGCTTCAGGTCTTCACGTACGCCACCCCCCACATGGGCCTGCACACACGTGACGAATGTGCTTTAATTTGATTTTTGATATGTATCTCAGGCTGGCATCAAACTCCCTATCTTCCTGTCTTGGCCTCTAAGTGTTGGAATCATAGGTTTGGTCACCATGCACAGTCAGAATATTGTTTTGGGGTAAGGATGCAGCTCAGTTGGTAGAGCACCTGCCTTACATCCACAAGGCCCTGGGATGGGTTTCCAGAACAACATGAGCAAGAGGATTAGAAGTTCAAAGTCATCCTTGACTCTGCAGCAAGTTTAAGGCCAGCTGCGATTGATGATAACCTGCCTCCAAAGAAACAAAAAACAAACAAAAAACCAGTTTTGACTTTTGTGACCTGACATTTTTGACAGCTACAGGCAATTGTTTTGTAGCCCAATCCCAGCTGTTTTTTAACACTTGGTGGTGCTTGAGATTGAACCCAGGGCCTCACATGTGGCAGGCAGGCATTCTCCAGCTCCGCACAGGGCTTGTGTTCCATCTTCGTGATGAGATTCAGATGATGAATCTGTAGGAAGAGCTCAGAAGTGATGGTTGGGTCCCATTAGGCGTGTGATTCCAGTCTGTCCTGTGACCTAGGCTGATCCTTTTACCAGCTGCAATCAGTCATTCAGGCTTCCCACTCTGAAGTTGCTTTCTCCTTGTAATGAATGACTGTTCTATGCACAGCTACCTTAAGTCTTCATTAAACTTCGTTAAACTTCGTATTACAAACACATATGCATACACACAAATATATGTATTTATTGATATATATATATAATATGCTTATTCATGTATATATTTATAGTGTATCTGTGTGTGATTTTATGAATTCCCATTCTGTTTAGTGGCTTATGGTCTGTAACTTATTTTTATTTTGATGATGATATAATCACTCATTAGACTAGTAGGAGCCTTCTTCCAAATAGGAAATTTTGTAACAAACTGATGTAGAAAGGGGAGTTTGGGACATAGGTTTTCTTCTGTCACCTTGTTTTGAGGTATAATTGACCCCTTTAGATGTGTAGTTCTGTGTCATGGAACCACCATCACAATCATTGAGGTATAGAATCCTTCTCTCACTGCAGAGTGGCTGTGTCCCTTGGTAGTCATTCTCCACGCCCTCCCCCAGAGTGCCCTGGGAGTGAAATCAAAAGAATGTGGTCTTCTGGCTTCTTGTTGCCTTTAACTGATCATTCATCTGTGTTGTTGCAGTCGCTGGCTTCCTGTGGCTGCTGGTACAGGGCACCACGTGGTGGCTTCCAGGAGCAGAACTTCACTTTCTCCAATTCTTAGTCTGAAATCACGGAATCAGCAGGGCCAAGCTCCCTCTGAATGCTCCTGGAAGTCTTTCCTTACCACTCCCTGGCTTTTTGTTAATAGCCCTGTCACTACAATCTGTGGCCTGTTGTCATGTGACCTTCCCATGTATTTGTGGTTAATAAATAGCCCCTTCCTCCCTCACTTATAAAGACACCAGTCCTTGGATGTGGGGCCATGATACTCTAGTATGACCACCTTCTGAATTAATGAATGTTGTGGAAAGATCCTGGGGTCTCCCTCTCCCTTCCCCTCCCCCCCTTCTTTTGTGACAGTGTCTTACCTGCAACCCAGGTTGGCCTGGAACTCACTATATAATACAGAGTTGCCTCAAACCAGGAGCAATGCTGCTGCCTCGGCCTCCTGAGTGCTGGAATTACAGGCACCCCTACATCCAGCTTCCGTGCAGTTGTGCCAGGTGGGGCTGGTGGCTCTTGTGGTAAACTGATCCCTCTCCCTCTCTGGCTCTGGGTATTTCTGATGCGGAGGGGGTGGGGGACTGACTGGCCTTGGCTTTTTAGTATGCTGACCAGGCGCCTTTACCCCAGCCCCTACCCCAGATCCTACTTTACCTTTATAGGAGGTTACCACCTGGTTTCCAGGGTGGCTGTACAGTGTCACACTCCCACCATTGAGACATGAGTTCCAACGGCCCGGTATCTTTCTTATCACTTGACGCTTCAGGCTTAAAAAACAAAAAACAGCCAGGTGTGGCAGCACGTGCTTTTAATCCCAGCAACTGCAGGCACAGGCAGGTGGATCTCTGTGAGAAGGGAGGTGTAGTAAGATGTTTAAAAAAAGCCGGGCGTTGGTGGCGCACGCCTTTAATCCTAGCACTCGGGAGGCAGAGGCAGGCGGATCTCTGTGAGTTCGAGGCCAGCCTGGTCTACAGAGTGAGTTCCAGGACAGCCTCCAAAGCCACAGAGAAACCCTGTCTCGAAAAACCAAAAAAAAAAAAAAAAAAAAAAAAAGATGTTTAAAAAAAAAACTGCCAAAACTAACTAACCAAACAAAAGCCAACCATATACACACTAACTTGCCACCTTAATAATTTTTAAAATTCACAATTCAGTGGCATTAAGAATATTCATATGATTGTGCAACCACTCTCCAGGACTTTTTCACTTTACAAAACTTGGTACTTAGTGAGAAAACATAGTTTCTGTTTTCCCTTTCCCAGCCTGATAGCCGCCCTCTGCTTTCTGTGCATGAATGGGGCTGCTCTGCGTGCCTCATTTAATCATACACTGCTTGTCTCTTTGTGACTAAGCTGTTTCGCCTCACGTAGTTTCCTCAAGTTTCATCCACATTGTGACAGGATTTCCGTCCCTTTTAAGGGTGAGTACTATTCCATTGTGTGTGTGTG